TTGGCCATTGATTTGAGTGTGGCTGAGGCCCATTCATTTTAGTTTAAGTCCATCTTGCATTATGTATGCCATATCCATGTTGTCGCATGCTTGATCCGTCGCATTGTGTATGCCTTGTTCATGTCTTCGTACATGTCCATCTTCGTATGTGCATTGCGTATGCCATATAGTTCATGTGCATTGAGTATGCCATTCTTAGTTCATAGCATTGTGTATGCTAGTTGCATGTTTGCATATCATCCCTCGCATGCTAGCATGATTAGGTTGCATTGCGTTTAGGGTTGCAGCTAGTCGTATCGTGTATGGCATGTATATTGCATTGTGTTTGGAATAGGGTTTAGTCCAAACACGGGAAACGAGGGACGTTTCGTACTCCAAGTGACGAAACGTGCCTCGATTCTCGATCGCCGACACTCCGGATTACCCATGCTGGAGTTTAGGCCTTGTTGTATTTATATGTGCATTCATTTTACATCGAGTCGTGTAATCCGACTCCTCGGCCATCATGCATCGAGATGCGTGATTGGTGGCACGAGGATCGATGACTACACTCTCTGGAGCTTGTGCAATGATGAGGAGAGTGGTCATGCACACATATGTTAAAAATACTTTGCCATGCCCATTTCTTGCTCTCTGTTGCAGCAAATCGGAAACCAGTAGCAAAAACTGGTCAGCAGCCTTCTGGAGCTTTGTACAGTGTTCTGGGACCAGTTGCAAACAGAGGCAAATTGGGGAATCGCGATGGATTTCCCGACAAGGCGACTAGAGCATGCATGCATCCCTATCATTCGGAACAGAGCTGAGGCAGTCCATTTTGTTTAATTTGCATGCTAGTTTCCTTACTTACTTAGTTAATTCGTTAATTAATTAATGTTGTGTAATAATTAGTTTAATTAGCTTAGATTAGCTAGTTTATTCTATACTATTCATTCGGACCCTCCGAGAGAGGGCAATGTTGTAATAAGTGTGCGTGTGTGTGTGATGCATGCCTTCCAACCCCACGTCTTTCTCCCTTTTGTTTACCAGCTTATGATGGTTAGTTTAGGGCACGTTTCAATTAGCATACTTATGCTCGCATGCTTGCATCCATTTATCTGTCTTGCATGCACCGGGCTCGGCGCATCATACTAACTGCATTGTATTTCAATTCCGAGTTGAATACGTGTATCAGTTGTTGCATTTCATATGCCATTTTAGAATAGTCGAGCCTATCTTAGTTGCATTTTTGCATGTGTTGCATTAGGCATTTCAGCATAGTTAGGATTCATGCATGATTTCTAATTAGCTTCTTTCTTTGGCTTGGAGTACTCGATAAGTATTAATGCTTTAGCATCCTTGCATGCGTGTGAGTGACTGCCATGATAGCATGCTTACCATGAGGCTATTTGCTTATCTGATATAACTGGCTGAATTCCTGTGGGTGAAGGTTGGATTATTTGAATTGGAACAATTCACCAATTGAGAGTTTTAAGCCCACTTGAGAGTGGCAAAATCATGTTTTCTTAAGCCCACTTGAGGGTGGCAAATCCACGTCTTAGCCTACTTGCGAGTAGCACCATCAAACCATTTTTCAAATAAACAAACATGAAATGTTTTGTTCCGATTCAAACGATCTAGTCTATACTTGTATGCTGTGCGCATCACATAGTAATTCTTGGCTAATAAACCGGAATAAGAGCACATGTGTTTTTAAAAACTCGATATCATGGTTAGTAGAGGTCGATCTTTGATCGGGCGAGCGGGGGTGCTCACGCAGTGACTTTCCCCACTCGTACCCAAGTTCCCGAGCCGAGTCAACTTTGGTAATGACGGATACGTGGCCTTAGGCACGAGTCAGCGTTTTCTAAATTTTTCCAAAATAAAATATTTAGGTGGCGACTCTGTATCTGGCAAAGCAGTCCATGTTTGGCACTTCTTTACAAAAGTCAGTTTTCCAAAACGATTTGCCGGATTTGGACTCTTTGGTGATTTATCGGTCTTGCATTGCACTTTGCGAGACTAGATTCAGAACCGTGACATCGAGTCCGAGCTGTAGTGAGCCCAATGAACAAAATAGGACTTTCCCGAGACGTTCGGGCGCGTCTACATAGTGACGTCATGAATTTCGTTCGGGCAATTACTAATGAACTACGAAACCAACCCAGACATGAAAACAATAAAGCAGAATTAATAGCGAAATTTCAAAAACTCAAGCCCCAAAATTTTTTCGGAGAACCCAATCCCTACGCGGCTGAGGCATGGATAAGGCAAGTGAAAAAAATATTAGAGACGCAAGAGATTCAAAACGAGCAGGACCAAGTGTCCCTCGCTTCATTTCTCTTCGACGGGGAGGCCGATTTCTGGTAGACAATGATTAAGGAAAGCCGTCAGGTGGCAGACCTCTCTTGGAGACAGTTCGAGGAATTGTTTATGGAAAAGTATTTCCCAAACTCAGTAAGGCAGGAGGCGATCTAAGAATTTCTCCAACTGAAACAAAGAGGCATGACTGTGACACAGTACGCCAATCGATTTGAGGCCCTTTCTCGCCATGCCACAACTATAGTGGCAAATAAAACAAATAAGGTAAGGCGCTTTGAGTGGGGACTCGACTTGGGGATCCGAGACAAGCTGGTTGCAGTGCAACTACCTACTTATGCACAGGTAGAAGATAGGGCTTTTGCCTTAGAGAAAGAAAAGATGGACACTGTAAGGACCCAAGGTCAGTAGTCTAGAGCTAACCTGCTAAGATGTGGAGGACCCTTAAGGAACAACAGGACCCCTTCTGCCTCGGTACCTTATGCTAGGGGGCTACAACAACAACAAGGGTACAATCCTGAACAGCATAATAGGGAAGGGGCTTGAAGGTGCTACGAGTGTGGCCAAGAGGGGCACTTCAGGAACAACTGTTCTTAAAGGTTAGGCTACTACGTCAATCAAGGAGGAGCCACTCAACGAAACAAATGCGCGCTAACTCAGGGAACACGAGCTGTGCAAAATTCCCAATCCGGCAGAGGCCAACCGCCAGCTAATCAGAATGTGGGACAATCGAGGACTCAACAACCAGGAGATGCCAATGTAAGGAAACCTTCAGTGCCAAATCAGGGTGCCACTGGGAGAGTCTTTGCACTCCAAGAAGGAGAAGACAATGGAAATCCTTCAGTGATTCAAGGTATACTCATCCTTATGAACTCTTGCGTACAAGTCTTGTTTGATTCTGGAGCATCACACTCTTTTATATCTGTTTTATGTGTTGTAACTTTGGGATTAGAGCCTGAACGATTAGAAACACCTATGAGTGTAACTTCACCGCTAGGGATTCAAACTCGAGTAGATCTCCTATGCAAATTATGTGAACTAGGAGTATCTAATTTACGTTTAACTTGCGACCTACAAGTCATGGAAATGTCAGACTTTGATATTATCCTAGGAATGTATTGGTTATCAGCCCATAGAGCCACCATTGATTGTTATCGGAAGACGGTGACTACTTACTCTCAGGACGGAACACGATTCCAATTTAAGGGGGATAGACAAGATTCCTCCTCACTGACACTTGGGAATTCAAAATGGCACGATCGCTTAGTTGGGCGGCTAGCCAGCTTAGTTCTAGAAGATAAAGATCGTATGGAACTAGTGCTACCTCGTGTGGTGTGCGAGTATGCTGATGTGTTCCCAGAAGAATTACCAGGACTACCCCTAAAGCGAGAAGTAGAATTTACCATTGAACTACAACCTGGTACATCACCGATCTCAATGGCACCACATCATATGGCACCAGCTGAATTGAGAGAGTTAAAGACACAGTTGCAAGAATTATTGGACAAGGAATTTATACGGCCAAGCACGTCCCCGTGGGGAGCACCAGCCTTATTTGCTAAAAAGAAAGATGGGACACGTAGGTTGTGCATTGATTACCGACAACTCAATAAAGTCACCATTAAGAATTGGTATCCACTACCTAGGATTGATGACCTTTTCGATCAACTTAGAGGGGCAACGTATTTCTCAAAGATAGACCTCAGGTCTAGGTATCACCAATTGCGTGTTCGGGAAGAAGATATTCTTAAGACTGCGTTTTGAACTCGTTACGGCCACTATGAATTCGTAGTGATACCATTCGGCCTAACCAATGCACCAGGCGTGTTCATGAGCTTAATGAACAAATATTCACGCCTTACTTAGATCAATTTGTGGTAGTTTTCATAGATGACATTTTGGTGTACTCCAAGTCTGAAAGAGACCATGAACAACATTTGAGAATGGTACTTCAAACTTTGAGAGAGAACCAATTGTATGCTAAGGCTAGTAAATGTGAGTTATGGATGGAGGAAGTAAAGTTTTTGGGTCATGTAGTATCTGAAAATGAAATATCAGTCGACCCAACTAAAGTAAAAGCAGTGACAGAATGGAAGCAACCTAAGAACACATTCGAGATTCGTAGTTTCTTAGGGTTGGCCGGTTACTATCGAAGATTCATTCAAGACTTCTCAAAATTGGCCAAACCAATGACACATTTGACTTAAAAGGGGGTAAAGTTTGAATGGAACGAGTCTTGTGAAAATTCATTCCAAGAACTCAAGAAAAGGTTGACGAGTGCCCCTATTCTCATAGTGCCAGAACGTGACGTTGGGCACAACGCGTATTGTGATGCTTCCAAAGAAGGCCTAGGTTGCGTATTGATGCAGAATTGCAAGGTGGTGGCATATGGATCAAGGCAATTAAAGAACCATGAGAAGAATTATCCCACCCATGACTTGGAGTTAGCAGCTATAGTTCACGCACTCAAAATTTGGAGACACTACCTGTATGGTGAAAAGTTTGAGATATTCACCGATCACAAAAGCTTGAAGTATCTATTTACCCAAAAGGATCTAAACATGCGTCAGAGACGTTGGATGGAGTATCTCGAGGATTATCAATTTACCTTTTCTTATCATCCCGGCAAGGCTAACGTGGTGGCAGATGCGCTAAGTCGCAAGAATAGAGGGATTGTTACTAGTTTAGCACTTAGAGAATGAAATATGGTTGGAACGCTCAATGAATTTGAGGTACAAATGAGGGTTCAAGATGAAAAGGCTTACCTTGGTACTCAGATTGCTATGCCTAAAATTTTGAGTGAGATATTAGAATCACAAAAATACGATCAGGAGGTAGCATTCATCAAGGCACAAATAGAATCTAGTGAAGCCATGCCTGGTTGGGAAATTCACACTGATGGGAGTTTGAAATATCAAGGTCGAATGTGCATACCAAGCGACAACTCACTAAGGGAAAAGGTACTCAAGGAATTCCACCATTTAGTATTCACAGTACATCCGGGAGGTACTAAGATGTACTAAGCCTTAAAATGCCAATTTTGGTAGGGCGGAATGAAAAGGGATGTAGCAAAGTTTGTGTCTCAGTGCCTGACATGTCAACAAGTAAAGGCCGAACATCAAAGATCGGCAGGAACACTTCAACCCTTACCAATTCCAGAGTGGAAATGAGAACACATAACCATGGATTTCGTGACGGGTTTGCCTTGGTCACCACAGGGACGTGACGGTATGTGGGTAGTGGTAGACTGATTAACTAAGACAGCCCGATTCTTACCTTCAGGTCATCAAATACATTGGATTCACTCAGTAGATTGTTCATCAAAGAAGTGATCAGATTACACGGAGTACCGGTTAGCATCGTGTCTGATCGTGATCCTCGATTCACTTCTCAATTTTGGCAGAGCTTGCAGAAGGCAATGGGAACGAACCTATGCTTTAGCACGACATTTCATCCACAAACAGATGGGCAGTCTGAAAGAACGATACAAACCTTGGAGGATATGCTTCGAGCTTGCGTTATGGATTTTAAGGGAAGTTGGAAGAAACACCTACCTCTCATTGAGTTCACTTACAACAATAGTTTCCAGGCCAATATTGGAATGACACCGTATGAAGCACTTTATGGGCGACCTTGTCAGTCACCAGTCTGTTGGACTGAAGTAGGGGAAGTAACCTTGTTAGACCAGACTTGGTTTAGGAGACCACTGAAAAGATAAAACTGATTAAACAACGGCTAACCACAGCCCAAAGTCGACAAAAGAGCTATGTGGATCAAAGGAGACGACCCTTAACATTTGAAGTAGGGGATCATGTTTTTCTCAAAGTTCGACCTCGTCGAGGTGCTACACGATTTGGGAAGAAAGGAAAACTTGCACCTCAATATGTGGGACCCTTCGAAATTCTGAGCAAAGTAGGAGAAGTGGTGTACCGTTTGGCTCTACCACCTCAACTGGTTGGAGTACATAATGTTTTCCACATCTCTATGCTACGAAAATATGAGCCACACCCTTCTCACATCATCAATTGGGAGGAAATTAATCTTGATGAAGATGTGACATTTGAAGAGAAGCCTATCAAAATTTTAGATCGTCGTGAGGAGGAATTACGAGGTAAAAGCATACCATTCGTTCGAGTTCTTTAGAGACATCGTGGGATGGAAGAGTCAACATGGGAACGAGAAGATATGATACGTGCCAATTACCCTCAGCTTTTCGAGTCTAAAGGTACAAATTAATTTCGATGACGAAATTTTTTTTTAGGAGGGTAGATTATGAAAACCCACATTTAATTATTCTTAAAAGAAAATAAATAAATAAATTAATTAATTAATTTTATCCAGAGTCTATCTGAAAATATATATTAGTGTAAAAGTTAGTTTTAAATTAACCCAACTCAATCACTAACAAAGACATTATTAAGAATAATAATTTTGTGGGTGTTCATAGTTGTTGTTTATAAATTATTTTAATTAGGATTCAATATGATAATTATTCTTACTAAATACCTTAATTAAAAATCTTTGTGTATTAATTTAAAAAAACCCACACAAATACACAAAAAAAAAAAAGAAAAAGAAAAGAATCAAACATTGCACATTTTTGGTGGCAACTTTCCACATGTTGGATTGCATGTTATTATAGGAAATGAGAGCCCATTATACTCTTGGAATTGAGAGAAAGTAAACTCATAGAATGAAAAGAGAATGATGAGAAAGAGGGAGAGAGAGAGAGAAAAAAAAAAAGGGGGCTCAGCTTAATTATCTATATATACATAGGTATGTCTACTCCTTCGGATCAGTGAGGAGAAAAGAGGCAAAAAAAAAAAAAAAAAAAAAAGGAGGAAGAAAATTCTGTGAGCAACAAAGCAGTAGGAGAAGAAGAAGAGTGGGAGATTAAGGTTGCATATTTTCCTACCATTTCACTATTCCATTTCAATCCTACAACTAAGTAAGAAAACCCTCTCAACCCTCTCATTTTTTTTTTAATTCTTGAAATTTTCAAATTATATTCATATGATAAAATGACTAATTTATAGATAGAAATTTTTATATATGTATGTAAATTTTGTGATGTGTATATCAAATATTTGAAGATATTAATAGTCTTAAAGTCATGATATTGTTATGGAAATAGGTTGCATGTGTAGTTTATACCATTACAGAGAGGATTGAAGAATTTATTTGGTTCTTGAATCTGCTAGAAAATTTGTACAAATTTTTAGATAATTTTATACTCAAACTTTGAAGATGATTTCTTCTACAACATTGTTTAGAATGATGTCTAATTCATCCATGAATTTTTGCAACAATTATGGAATTTTGTACGAATTTATACAGATTTTTAACCAAATCTGGAGTTATAGGCAGATTTTACTATGTGTTTTAAAAAATCACTGAAAATTTTATATTAAACCAAATCTGGTAATTTCTAAACAAAAAATGAAATTTGAGAAGTCTAGTTTCATAATAAATTTTTAGATTATGGAATTGATTTATAAATTTAAGCATGGAATTAATTTAAGAAAATGTGATAAATCTGTGTCATAAATTTTCTTGGAATTTTTCAGAATTATTTATAATTTATTTTTCGAAAATGATTTCTGAAAAATGACCATAACATGTTTATTGAGTATTTTATAGATTTATATGAATTTTAGAGTTGTATAAGTAATTTATTTATAATTTTAATTACGAGTTATGCATTCTGAAAATTCTGGCAGATTAAGAGGGAATCAAAAATTTTCTCTTCAATTGTTTATTTGGACTAAAAATTTAATATTGTGTTAGTCTAATCGTGTACATCAAAAATCCATACATGTGTGTAATTATGATTTATTGGTATCTAAATTATTATTTCATGCCATGGTTTAAATAAATTGTTTATTTAAATTTTGTACATTTGTTTACTATTGTCTGACATGTGTAATATTTTATGTTGGGAATTTTAATGAGTTGGTATAATATTATTGGTAATTAAATGTTGAGTTATTGTGAATATCTCAACAAGTAAAGAAACACAAAATTTAACCAATGATACATTAAAATTTAAAAGTGATGAGGTGAGCCTGATTTAGAATCTTGCGCAAGTGAGTTGTGAACTCTAACATGGCACGGGAAGGTATTTCGGCTCTTATCGGTGTAGGCGATATAAGGTTGGTGGTGCTGGTGTCACAACATAGACCGTTCCTTTGGGGTAGATCGTAATGTCACGACTCGGTATGTAACCCTGGTGCGTGGGCATCATTGGTAGTTACAGTAAGTAACATTTGAACATTTGACCAAGGGGGAGTCAGAATTGCCCGTGGCCATTGCTTAGCAGTTGAGTGGAAATAGTGCTCCGCGAGGAGTTACTTAAATTTATTTGATAAACTGAATCTATGAAAATTTAAAAATAAAGGTGGGCATATTCCTTATGATGAAATACTGATTCCGTTTATTATATTTTTTTTTATTTGATTTATTATTATCTATTTGTAGACGCGCCCGAACGTCCCGGGAAAATCCCGTTTTGTTCATTTGGGCTCACTATAGTTCGGACTCAAATGTCACGGTTCTGAATCTAATCCCGCAAAGTGCAATGCGAGGCCGATAAATCACCAAAGAGTCCAAATCTGGCAAATCGTTTTGAAAAACTGATTTTTAGAAAGAAGTGCCAAACATGGACTGCTTTGCCAGATACAGAGTCGCCACCTAAATATTTTATTTTTGGGAAATTTAGGAAACCCTGACTCGTGCCTAAGGCCACATGTTCGTCATCACACCAAAGTTGCCTCGTCTCGGGAACTTGGGTACGATTGAGGAAGGTCATGCAATGAGCACCCCCGCTCGCCCGATCAAAGATCGCCTTTACTAAACATGATATCTTATTTTTTGAAACATATGTGTTCCTTATTCCAGTTTATTAGCCTAGAATTACTATGTGATGCGCACAGCATACAAGTATAGACTAGATCACCTGAGTTTGAACAAAACATCTCATGTTTGTTTTGAAAGCGGTTTGGCTACTTGCAGTAGGCTAAAATGCGGATTTTGTCACCCCTCAAGTGGGCTTAGAAAAATATGGTGATTTGCCACTCTTCAAGTGGGCTTAAAACTCGCAATCAATGAATTGTTTCCAATTCAAATATTTAACCTTCACCCACAAGACATTCAGGCAGTTATATCACATAAGCAGTTAGCCTCATGGTAAGCATGCTATCATGCAGTCACTTACACACATGCAAGGATGCTAAAGCGTAAACACTTACCGAGTACTCCGAGCCAAAACAGAAACTAGTTAGTAATCAATGCATGATCCTAGTTCATGTTAAGATGGGCTAATGCAACACATGCAAAATGCAGCTAAGATAGACTCGACTATTCTAACGTGGCATATGAGATGCTACAGATAACATGCATTCAACTTGGAATTGAATACAATGCAGTTAGTATGATGCGCCGAGCCCAGTGCATGCAAGATAGAATGAATGAATGCAAACATGCAAAGCATAAGGATGCTAATTGAAACATGCCTAAAACTAACCATCGAAAGCATTTAAATAAAAAGGAGAAAGACGTGGGGTTGGAAGACATGCATCACACACACGCACACTTATTACAAAATTCGCCCTCTCAACGGAGGATCTGAATGAATAATACAGAACCAAACTAGCAAATCTAAGCTAATCTAATTTAGCTAGTTATTACACAACCAAAATGAATAATAAATTATAGCTAATTATTACACAACTCTAATTAATTAAAAACTAACTAAGTAAGCAATTAAACTAGCATGCAAGCTACATGAATGTGGACTGCCTCAGCTCTGCCTTGGATAATGATGGATGCATGCATGCTCGAATTGCCTTGTTTGGAAATCCCTTGCGACGCCTCGACTTGCCTTTGTTTGCAATTTAACCTCAAAACACTGCACAAGGCTCCAGAAGGCTGAAACTCCACTCTGGGAATCTGTGGGAAGGCTGCCAACCAACTATTGGCCTTGGAGGCCACCTGTCGACCACCTTTTGTGGGAGAAACCAAAAAGGGTGGTCGGCTTGCCAGAAAAGTTGGTCGACACCGACCAGTTTTTGCCTCTGGTTTTTGGTTTCTGTAACAAGGAGCAAGAGAGAGGCATGGCAAGGTATTTTCAACATATGTGTGCATGACCACTCTCCCCATCATTGTACAAGCTCAAAGGAGTGTAGGTTTCGATCTCGGGCCACCAATCACGCACTCGATGCATAATGGCTAAGGAACCGAATACATAACTCAATGTGAAAAGAATACACACACAAGCACCTAAAGCCAACAACTCCGTCATGGGTAGTCAAGAGTGTCGGTGACCGGGGATCGAGGCACGTTTCGTCACTTTGAGTACGAAACGTCCCTCGTTTCCCATGTTCGGACTAACTCCTATTCCGAACACAATGCAACAAACAAGGCATGCACAATGCGGCCTTTAAGAATGCAACCTAAATGCTGTGCAACTAAGTGATGCAAACATGCAAAGGATGACATGTAAACATGCAACTAGCATACACAATGCTATGAACTAAAAAATGGCATACTCAATGCACGTGGTACTTAGCATACACAATGCACCTTAAGAACTAACATACACAATGAGATAAACAAGACATGCACAATGCAATGATCAATCATGCGACAATGTGGCATATTCAATGCTATGGAATACAATGGCATACTCAATGCAAAAATGGACTTAAACCAAAATGAATGGGCCTCAGCCACACCCAAGTCAGTGGGCCAAACATGATGAAAACAAGACTCCAAAACTCAAGCTAGCATACACAATACAATGGCCCCGAGCCTAAGGCACAAAAATACAACTTTGCACATGCATTGAAAGGACTAAACATGGAGTACAATGGCATATATTCCAGCTCTGAAATGGCATATAACAATGACTCCAAAATGACTCCGAATCATGCAAAACAACTCACACAACGCATGTTGAATGGCTCAAGCATTGAAACTAGTGAACTGCATTACACTATAGGCATGCAAAGCGATGCTCAAATGTTGAAACCAACCCCAAACAAACCCTATGCAGGCCAAAAACAATAGCAAATGGGTTGGGATGATGCGCTTGAAAAGCACAAAAGTGAAGCTCATGCAATGGCTCGCAAATAGGGCATAAATGT